GTGGAGTTTCCTCATGTTCCTGTAGAAACCTCTCCAGTATAATCCGGGCCATTAATGAGGGTGAGTAGTCCACCTTCACAAAACAGAAACAGAAAATTAAAACTGTCAAGTTCTGCAAGCAGTTGATATTCCAATATTTTGTCAACACTGAAGATTAAGTCAATTTTAATCAACCACAGCAAGCATCATTCATTAAAATCTTTCCCACTCCTGGTGGCTTCCATCATAATAAAATTATAACAAGTATGATCTGTCTGTTGAAAACAATAAATGGGTCAAATTTGTTAAATGTAATGCTGCAGCAAAAAGGATGGAACAACTTGGAAATAGTATTAATATAAAACAGTGAAATGGGCTGCTCTCATCTCTCCTCAATTTTTTGATAGGCCAGTATTATTTTTGATTTTAGCCATTCTTTCTTTCCAACTATCTCTGTTTATATGGTTTTGAATGCAATTTCAAGTAAAATCCCTTTTGTTAGTGACTGTTTTCAGAAACTGAATCAATATCCTTAGTCATTAAAAATATAGACTTTGCTGATTTGAGTTTATTTTATCTTTAAAGATCTAACTGAAATATTGGTATAAGTTCTTTAGGTATAAAATATCTTATTTAATGAAAAAATAGCCATACTGTAGAAATATTAAGAAGAACAATAATAGTACCTGCACTATAAGATTGCCATCATTAGTCTTATTAGAAATGTTACTTAATCAATTTAGTTAATACAGAACCCAGGAATGACTTTTTATTATTATTATTAAATAAAGGGTCAAATAGAAAACAGGGAACACATAATCCAAAAGTCATTTTAATTAACTAAAGATGTATCTACTCTTTTGGAAATTCATTTTCTTTTCTTTTTTTTTGGGGGGGGGGTTCTCATATCTTTTATTAACCATTGATTTAATTCCACCAGAAAATTGGTGTGTGTTTTTTAAGAGCAATAATCATCCCCTAAAACAAGCCTTTTTTATCTGAGATGTAAGATAGCAAATATTCCTCAAATATTATCATCATGAATTTTTCTTGACAGCTTTTCAAGTCCGGTAGCCATACCAAAATTTTTTCTTGATTTAGTAACTAGACAAAAAGGCTGGCTTCATTTGTATGAACAGTTTTTTCAAATATGTATGTACTTGGATGCCCTTAAATTCCCCAAGTAGAAAGAAATGCTTTCCATGAAGCTGCTTATTCCCAGTAACCCACATCAGAGCTGACACATGAAAAATGGTGAAATTACTGAAGGTAGTCCAGCCTGAATAAGGACTACCTTATTAGTTCAGGTACTTGCATCTCCCTAATTTTCATATTAATCATGTGTCCATCTTTCTCTGAAATAGGGCCATCATGCTTCATGTCAGAATTTAGCATGTAAGTAAAATTCATAGTGCTTCAAATCTCACTTGAAAATATTTGTGTGGAGAGAGCAGAATGACTGATCTTATTATTATTAACAAAGTGAGATTCCCTAAAATGTTCACTTTTAGCCATGAAATAGGAAAATTGGTATCAAGACATTTATAAAATCAATGATGGTCACATATAGTCCCTACCCCCAAATCAACAATAATGCAGAGTTCCTATTTCAGAGAGCCACTGCTCACTGTAATGTGCCAATGTTATATATTTCTCATCAGTTTTTACAGTTTCCACTGATTAAATATATATTGACTCATAAAGCATTGCCAGCACATCAGTTGTCACCAAATGCAAGCATATGTCATTTAAGTATTAACTATCATATAAAAATGGCAGCTTGGTTGTTTAGAAACAATAATCTGGTACCAGTCATTCCCGAATTTCCCTAATGCATTAGAAATCTCTCAGAATACAATGATCTCTGTACTAGGCTGAAGCCAAGAAAAAGGAAAAACCTTTAAATAACTATTTCCTTTTTTTTTTTTTTTTTTTGGTTAAATATTGCTGTATGTTCACAATAAATAACAGGTTTTTTGACACAGAAAAAAAAAATGTGTCAGTGGATTAAAATTTTCCATAGTACTAGAAGATGGAAGTTGAGGCCAGCTAAATAAGCTAAGCTCATCAGAAATAGCCATTAAAAATTCAAATGAACATAAACTGCTCCTATAATAAAATGTATGCTGCCAATATTACCTATAAAAATGTGTCCTGCATTTGCATCACATTCTTTCTAGATGCTGTGCTTACCGTGTTTCCCCGAAAATAAGACATCTTCCGAAAATAAGACCTAGAGCATGGAAAGATAAGACATCCCCTGAAAATAAGACCTAGCGCAACTTTGGGAGAAAAAATTAATATAAGACACTGTCTTATTTTCGGGGAAACGGTAGAATGCTGTTAGCTCACTCTTCTTTTTCCTAAAGGACAATCACTAAATCCTAGCTGTAAAATGCCTCCAACTGCTAATAGAACTGACTCACAACAAACAAGTCTGGAAATACTTAGAAACCACCTTGCTCTAGAAATAGAAAAAAAAAAATAATAAAATACATGTTTTGCTAGGAGGAGAAGAAAAAATGCATTCTATATGTTAACTATCATATCAGATGGTGTAGACATTGCCGAGACTATTTAAAAAGCTTCTGGTAACTGAGAGGTAATTGCTCCTTTGCTGACTGTAGGGTTGTACAGCAGACAGAAGCTGTGAGAGAAGCCATCCTTCCTTGCTAATGTAACATGTAGAACTTGCTGCTACTGCAACACTTAATGCTCACAGTACCGAGTCATCTTTAATGCAAACACACATTTTCTGCCTTGCTTCTATGTTTTCCATTATAATGCAACACGAAAACAGTGTACATTTCATTCCATCCCTATGAGGTTTGCATAAGCAGTTCCAAGTCACACTAAATGCTATATTGCTCTTATTATAGTGGATAAATATTTTAAAGTTTACGAATTAAATATTTTTTTCCAGTATGCTCTCTGCAACTATTATGAACTTCTTATAGCTTCCTCATTCATAGGAAATCTTTAGGGTTTCCTTTTTCAGATGTAAGACTGTTATTGGTTTCCCCAAACAGAAGCAGATCAGAGTGAACAAATAAGTTGAATAAATCACTTTATACTTGGTGTTAATAAGAACAGTATGCTTCTTCATAAAAAGAGACTTTTCTACAAGGCATATATATTTTATTATAATAAAAGTTTGCTAACAAAAAAATGAATCAAGTAAATGTTGCATCTTTAAGCATACAGTTTCTCTCTTAGTTTTTATAATAGTACAGATGCTCTTGGCATACATCGCTTTACTTGACACAGGTATTTCTCACACTAAATTAGGACAACACATCCAAAGAAGAGCATGTCCTGAACTGCTTAGTTGAAATTTCCCACAAAATAAGAAACCAAGAAGTTGTTTACACATTTGCCTCAAAAGAAGCAATCTAATTGTGTTAACTAATTTATTAATCTATGGGGTTCTTTGTCTAATTATTAAAAGTACAAACAGACTAGGGAGAGATTTAAATGTCTAATGCACCTCAAAATCTTTTTTTCCTCCAAGGCTAATTATAATTTTAAGCAAAGCTACTCTAGATGGGCCCCTTAGGTTTCATGCAGGTTAAAATAAAATAATAACAATAACATTACCTCATTGGCCAGCTCCAGGAGCACTGGGGCAGCTCCATTTTTTCCCACTCCACGCAGGTACCTGGACAAGACAAAGCCAAGTGGTGTTGCAGTGACAAGAAAAGGCCAGCACAGACTTGTCAGCATCCCCTGTGTGTACATGTTTCTCCTGGGCAAATGCCACGCTCAACTCTAGTTAAAGTGTGCTACTGTCACAAGAAGCCATTGAAGGGAAAAAGGATAACAAAACAACTGACCTCCAAACCACTGGCAATTAACCAAAGTGGGGGCAGTAGGTCTGGCCATATAAGCCTCCCCTGTTTTCACTTCCCAACATATAAAGTGAACACAGAGGTGGTTTGGGGGAAAACAACACACGATCCCTATATTCTGGCTTTATTATCAACTTCTTATAGCTTCTCACCACAACCATCTCACGGAAAGGAAGTAAATGCCCTTATAACTTGAAAAAAGCATCCATGGCCATGGCCGGTGTGGTCAGTGTTTAGAGCACTGGCATTCACACCACAGGGTCTAGGGTTTGATTCCTGGTAAAAGACAAGTACCTGTGTTGCAGGTTTGATCCCCAGACCTGGTAGGGGTGCATGAGGAAGTCAATTAATCTCTGTATGCATCTTTCACCTCTCTCTCCCAGTTCCTTACCTCCCTCTCTTCCACTTTCTAAAAATCAATGGAAAAAATATCCTCAGGTGAGGATTAACAAAACAAACAAACAAACAAAAAACCATCCACGAACACATATCACCTTTTTATTTATTTATTTTTGTTTCATAGGACTGGTTGACACCATCTTAGAAAAAACTGGAGCAGACTTGCCATCAGTGGGTCAGTACTCCTTTACCAGGCAATACAAGCCATCATCTTACCGACCCTGCATTTCTGTCATAGCCTCTAGCTCTCCTCACCTCGAAACACTCTAAAAACAAAACAAACAAACAAACAAACAAACAAACAAAAAAACCCACTAAAGTCCCCCAAATCTATCCCCCATATGTGATTTTTAAAAAAAATAAAAATCTGGACATACCATTTTCCTCCTTAAAGCACTTCAAAGGCCCCACATTAAATCTCAAAATTAAATTATAACCACTTAACAATAAGGTTCTTCAAAGTCTGGTTCCCACCTATTGTATTTGATCACCCTCATTTCTGTCCCCCTCTTCAACCTTCAACAGGAGAACTCCTGATTCTTCTTATATGTTACCCCCTTCAATCTACCACAATCTGGAAGGCAAGTGTCTCTCATGTACAATCGAGAAGCACCTTGTACACCTCTCCAGCATTTAGCACAGTATATTGTATTTGCCGGTTATTTGTCTACTTCAAACTCATCCCCCATTAGAAGGTTGAAGTAGAGGAATTGTATTTCATTCAATTTATTAAGTCTAGCACAATTCTTGGCTTATAATAGTTGATTATATTTTACTAGAGGCCCAGTTCACGAAATTCGTGCAAGGGGGGCCTCACCCCAGCCTGCACCCTCTCCAATCCGGGACCCCTCAGGGATGTCTGACTGCCTCTCACAGTCTGGGACTGCTGGCTCCTAATCCCTCACCTGCTTGCTTGCCTGGTCACTCCTAACTGCCCCACTGCTGGCCAGGTTACTCCCAACTTCCCCCTCCCTGCTGGCCTGGCCACTCCTAACTGTCCCTCTTACACACACACACTGGCCTGGTCACCTCTTACTGCACCCCCCATTCTGGCTTGTTCACCCCCAATTGCCCCCCTTGCCAGCCTGGTCCCCCCCCATTACCCCCCTTTCCTTGCTGGCCTAGTCATCCCCACTGCCCTCCCCTGCCAGCCTAATAGTCCCCAACTGTCCCCCCTGTTGGTCTGGTCACTCCCAACTGCCCCCCATGCCCCGCTAGTCTGGTCATCCTTAAATGCCCCCTCCCACCCACCTGTCTGGTCACTCCATGCAGTCTGCTGTTCAGTTGTTTGGTTATCCCTCACTAATTCCCCTGCCAGCCTAGTCATCTCATGCAGCCTGCTTGTTTAGTCATTTGTTCATCCCTCACTAATCCCCCTGCTGATCTGGTCATAGGCAGCCATCTTGTGAGGGTGTGATGATCAATTTGCATATTACCTCTTCATTATATAGGATGTACAATTTTTTTTAAAATAAATGATATATTTTTTCTAATTTTTAAAGTCACATTGGGCAAGAAAATACTACTAAATATGGGCATTTTCTGTATAGTGTACCGTTTAAGTGAATAATATTTGTTTGATAGTAAAAATCAAAGTCAACAGATGGGGTTTTACAAAAAATGCTAGAAGCATATATAAAATTACATTATTTCACAAGAATGCTTATAAAGATGTATTATTTTTCTATAAACCTAGGTGGGGGGGAAAAGCATATTTTTCAAGGTTGGGAGAGTGTCAGAATCATTACAACTTCAAAGCAATCTAAGACGTCTACCTTTTTTTATATATAGAAGCCTTTCTTGACTAAACAGTTTAGGAGTATAACTGGGAAATAAGTACTTTTAGAATCAAGGGCATGGGAAGCACGTGTGGTTTAAAGAATGGTCTTGGGGAAACAGGTCAGCTAGGAACCTCCCATCAGCGTACAACATTCCCACTGTACTGACCGGCTGCTCCTGGAGTGGCCAATCAGTTCAGCCAAGAAGACCAGCTCAGCGTGTGCCATAACTACCAAAAGTGCACGTTCATTAAAGGTTCAGATTCTGGGTGAGGGTCGTTAAGCCTGTACTGATACCAGGATATCTTTGTAACTTTCTACTCAACACTCATTTATCCCACAAAGATTGAGAGCTAACTACGCATGTGTTGGGCCTATTCTAGGTTATGAAGCAACAGCAGGGTACAAAACTCCCAGGGGTCCTGGCATCATATAGATTTCATTCCAGTGGAGAGACAATAAAAATATAGAGAAATAATTATATAATATAGATATACACTACAACAAAATGATAAACACTACTTAGTGGATGGGCCAGGAAGCCCATCTTGAAGGCATTGACACTGAGTAGAGACCTACAAGAAAGAAGGTGGCGAGCTGTGGGAGTAGCCTGTGCCCAGCAAGAGAACAGTATGTGGGAATGCTGAGAATGTGCTGGGGTTGTTCAAAGACTAGAAAATTTTTTATAACTATAACTGTGACCAGAGCAGAGTTTTTGAGAGGAGACTGGAAATAACAAGAGAAGAGCTGGACCCCAGACCACTGCCTCTACTAGAGAATTGTTGAGTCCAAGTTACATGGTTTCATGTAAACACTACATCTATCATTACCCTGAGAATGATCAATGGAATATTTCTATTTATTGAGACCATTCTGTAAAGTTTAAAGTAACACGAGATGGTTAAACAATAATAACTCTATCAATACAGTCTATATAATATTCGATATACTATAGTATGTTCATATTTAATATAGTGGGAATTTCTAATTACGAGCTTAATAAAGCTTTCCAGTTGGTCACTTGGAGAAACCAAAGTCCAGAGTACTGATGAAAGCTGTCGGGGCTTCCTTAGCTGGCAGGCTGTGAGGTTTGCAATGAAATCCTGATCAACCAGGGTCTACTGAGCTGCCTTCATATGCTTAAAAGGGTAGCACTGCTTCCGAGTGTATTCATTCCCCAATCTATTTTCCAACTATATCCTGTAACACTTCAGAAAGTGCGAGGGAAAAGATGTTAAAATGAATTTGAAGTTTTATTTGTCCTGAGAACTTTAATTGTCCCCCACATAAAGTGACAGATCATGTTTATGCATATTTTAGATATGCAATCAAAGAGGCATGCTAATTACAGAAAGTATTCAGTGAGGACCTAATCAGATATTCCTAATGCTATGCTTCTCTTCATCCTCAAAGCTTCCCATGTAAAGTTAAACCACGGGCTTTTCACATGGCTTTTTCTCTCTCCAACTAGAGTGGAAGCACCTTGGGGTGGGGCTGCACAAATGCATGTTGAACCGTCATCCAACAGGTCCTTAGCAAAGGTCTGAATTACAATTGGGATATAAGGATGCGATCCTGAACACTACACCCAGGTGACCTGGGCTATCTTCCTAATGCCTATTTGCAAATAAAACGACACTGCACAGAAGATGTCTGTCATCAATTAGCTTTGCCACAGGAAGACTAACAAGTAAATGTGTTGTGGGTGACACCATCCTGAAAAGAGCTTCAGAGAAGGTCCATTTTTAGTTGTTTTTTTTTTAGTGTGAAAGATACCTTAGCATCTAAGGTGAACATATTATGTAAGATTTTAAATATAAGGCAAAATTATTTGGTCTTTAAAATTTTTATAACTATAATGGTGAAACGTAAAAACCTACCAATTGAATGAATAAATATAGCTAATAAAGCTGGCAGACAGACAGTGTGTGTTGGGAGTAGGGACACAATGAAAGAGAATATTTTTAAACTTCCCTGTTGATGGGGAATTGTATTTCTGACCAATTTGTGAGTGTGTCAATGTGTGCGCACACATTTTGTCAAGCATGTTTCTCACTTGGAAATAAAATGCCATTAGTACAGTGGGAAAGAATAGAATTGTTTTTCAAAATAAACACTCAAGCTGTGACTATACATACACAACCTGAAGAACAAAAGAAATTTCATCCATTATTCAAAAGTTTGAGAAAACATTTTCTACTGATACTGGGATACTGTGAAGTTTCAGTTAATTATGATGGAATCACATTGTGGATTATGAAGTTTTAAATACAGACTTCGAATTCTGAATTGTGATCCTCTCAATGCTAGCAAGAATGTGCAGACTCAGGAATTCTCTAAAATTGCTACCAGGAAACCATTGCAACCTTTCTAGACAGTAATTTGGCAACTTATAATAAAACCTTTAAATGCTCATTGTTTGCACCAGTAATTACAGATATAGAAATATTAAGAAACTAATCTAAAATACAAAGACTTATACATCAAAGTACTTATCATAGTATTATTTATGATATCACAGCATTGAAAACATGTATATTCAACAGAGGAACAATCCAGTAAATTATGATACTTTCATATGATTAAGTAATGCAATCAATAATATGTTTACAAAAAGCTTTCTACAAATAATATTATGTCATATACATTTTCCAAGTATAAAATTCAGGATTCACAATCACATATATAGAATGACCTCATCTATGTAAAAAAGACTAGAATAAAAAATACCACCATGGTTATTATCTCTGGGTGCCACAATTATGGTGTATCATTAATTCCTTTTTTTAAATCATCAAAAACATGCTTAACTTTCACAATAAGTGAGTATTGCTTTTGTAAAAGCAAAAAATCTAAAGAAATGGTTAACACATTAAACCACTAAACTGTGTTTTGATATAGTACAATTTTCCTTTCTTCTAATCAGTTGGAAAACAAAAATATTTCAAGGCCAGTATACCTTAGAGAATACAGGGCCATTAGACCTGCACATTTAGAACCAGAGGCCTGTAAGGTCAATCCACCCAAGAGGTCACGACACGGCCTGCCTCCAAGCACAGTGCGGGGCAGGCAGTCAGGGCGCAGCATGGGAAAGTGAGGAGCCAGTCAGACGGCTTTCCTATTGGTCTGTCTACTGCAGCCTGACTTCATGTTTTTGTTTCAGATTTTGTGCCTCCTCAAAATAACAAGCTCTCACATTTCAATGAATGTGAAGAAATACAAACATATTTCTGTATTCTCACTATTCCCCACTCAACTGTTCTTTAAGTAGCCATTCAAAAAGGAAATATTTTTATTTCTGGCCTAAACTGTACAGATAATCCAATAAAGTATGTTTATAGTTTAATAATTAAATATACTTCTTAATGAAACTAATATTTTGGAAGTCAGCTCTTAGAGATCATGGAAATCATCTACTGAAACAGCCTTTTTATAATGAGAAGGTGGATTATCAGAGGGCAGACCCACGGCCTCATGGTGGATCCCCAAATTCCTAGGAAACACTCTGTGTTCCTTCACTTCAGTTAACAAAAGCTTTAGAATCTGAGCATACTTCTAAAGCCTAAGACTACAATTTTTACAAATAAGAATACATTTTTCACATGTAAATAACTTTTCAGTCTTTCTTTGGGGGTCTGAATGCCAAAGCATTTGCTGGCTTCACAGGTCTTGAGCCATTCTTAATTTTATGTGTATGACTTAAATAGTGACTTTAATTTTTTTCATTTAATTTTTTTATTGTTTAAAGTATTATAAATAGTAGTACAAATGTCTCTTTTTCCCCCCCAATTGACTTTTTCCCAGCCTCCTCTACCCCTGGCACATGCCCTCATCCAATGTGCCCATTGGTTATGCTTATATGCATGTATACAAGCCCTTCGGTTGATCTTTATCCCCTCTCCCTGCCAATCCTCCCCAGTCTTCCCACTGTAGTTTGACAGTCTCTGGTTTCTCTTCAGATCGTATAAATCTTTCACCTTTTAGATAACTTAAATTTTATATTCACTAAGGAGATTATGACTTTTGAGTAAATCAATGCAAACTGTGCAAAGACCTGTTTACAGAGGAATTCTCTTATATCTTCCTTTAACAGACTCTAATACTGAAAACTGAATGAATCTTTTATCATATACAGAATAGTGTAAAGTTCTAAATTCAATAACTTTTCTCTTCAAAAACACTTACTGATTCTTAAAAAAATGACCCTACAAAAGCATGACACCAGTATTTTCTCTATATAGCCATTTCATTCATAAAAATTTCATGCATAAAAATCATTCATCTAAAATTAGTACCACAGAAAGGTTGACCTGTCCATCTTAAGTGTAATAATTTAAGAGCATATTTCAAACAGTTTTCCTTTCCAATGTGCCCTTAAAATATTAAAGAAACCAACAATTTCTAATGAAACTATTACCATTTACCATTATAAATTATTCAGTCATATTACAAAGCCAATACAATTTTTAAAAAGAGCTATTTAAAATATTCTAAACAACTAAAATGTTTGTTTTAGAATTGAATGTGAAAACTATTTATAGTAAATAAAACTGAAATTAAATATCCCATGGACACTATGATGTTGATTTAATACTCAATATTTTCATTTTAAAATATAAAACCCTTTTTAAAATGTTACAGTAATGCATTATTATATATCTCTATAAATCCTTACTTGGTATATGTCTTTTTCCCCCCCTTGGAATCACTAACCCAATACCTATGATGCAAAATAAAACTGCACCAAAATTCAATCATATTTTTTAATATATTTTTCAACTTATAGATCGAAAGAAGTAAATAAAAATTAATTTGAGAACTTGCACACATACATGTAGATATATGTATATATGAATATAAAGATCTATACAAGCCATGCACTTACAATAAGTTTCCAGTAGTAAATTGAGATTTCATAATATTGTAACAATTTCTTACATAGTATGTATATACACACTTAACTGAGACAGACTCACCATATTCTTTAAATCTATAAAACAGAGCATTTGAGAAATCCTTCAAAAATATATTTGAAGACTTAAATACAGACTTAAAACAAAACACTTTCAAATGTTATATAGAAAATTAATTTAGTAATCTAATTTATTCATAATTATTATTACAATCAATAGGTACTATGATACCCTCTAGTGGGGCAGGCAGGTCATACCTCTGGTAATAACTTTCAATTGCTTCTGAAGTATGGTGTTTGGCATGTGTTCTTTTAATATGTTTCTGAAACAAAACAGAAAAGATTTTTATGTTGTGTCACATATGAAGTTCAAGTACAAAAATGACATATTTCTTCATCCCAGCATCTAACACATAGGACAAATGGAATAACGGCTTGGGGATTGTGGTGGTGGTAGGTCCTTTTTCCTTCTCCTCCATGAACCCATGCATTCTAATCTCCACTGCTTGGCTGGGATGCCTTCAGACTGCACCACAAGGTACAGTACGTATGTAAAAGCCAACAGGGTCAGAGTAATTGAATCTAAATAAGTTTGCGTAGGGTGGCAGAGGGCAGAGAAAAACTTGTTCCCTTGAAAACCTTTGTATTAATTTCCCCTCGATTCAATTCCATCTAAGTCCTCTGCACTCTAGTTTTACAATCCAATTGCCATTTTTAACCAGGACGAACATTGCTTAAAAACAACATATTTGAAAACTACAAAAAGTAATTCCATCGAGACTTGCCACTTGACTGACACCTGTCATCTCATGATAAATGACTCCATTTTCTGCCTCTCTTGCCTTCTGCCACTCCAGCAATGGTCATTTATCATCATCTCTGTCAGCAATGGAAAGCGGCACTGACAGTGCAAGTCAGCAAACATTTAGCACATGGAACCACGCAACACAGGGAAATTATTATTGTCAGAATAATAATGGTTTAGCATAATTTATTACAGGTCCACCAAATAAGCAAAGGCTAGATGTTATTAGACAGATGGATGGGTAGGCTTGGCAGGCCTCCACTGAGACGCAGGCGGTGCTTGATGTGGAAAGGAGAACATCCTCCAACCCAATCAGAGAGCTGGCAGTTCAATTACAAAGAAATAAAGGGACATTCATCATTCAATTAGGCACCTGTCAACCCTCACAAAGGAGAAAACTTCTAACCTGGTACTCCTGGGAGAAGATGCTCAGCAGAGTGGCCTGCGATTGACTGGAACAAATAAAAGAAGGACAAAGTTAATTACTGGAGTGCACGGCAAAGAAACAAAAGAGAAAGGAGCTTCAAAGGTAGGCCTGCTGCCCTGCAATCTAACAGAACATGAAAACAAGTGTGGAAAAGTTGTTCCAGATGAACACCTCAGACAAAGGCTTCCTGCTGCCAGGTCAAGGAGAGAGAGAACGGGAGAGGGGAAAACGTGATGGTCTCAAAGTCAAGTATCCTATGATGTGGATCTTTTTTTAAACTTTAGAACGACTCTAAATCAGATCTGTAGCATGCAGACCAACAGCAGGTTCGGTCTGTTTTCATAAACAAATGAGAGTTAAGCCTCACAAACAATAGGAAATGTGCAGTGCATTTGTTGGAAACATGCAGAAGTCTGTTTTTGTTAGCAGACAGGTATCCTCTTCTGGAGCTATTTCAGATTCAGGGGGGAAATCTTCGGTCTTCACGAGAAGTAGCACAGACCACTGGAACATTCCCACTGACACGGCTGTGCTTTGAAAATAGAAGTTTTCATGGCAGGAAGCTGAGGTCCTTGAAATGAGTCATTCCCAGAGACTGCCATTCCCCTTCTGCTTCTGGACCCCATGCAGTGTCAGACACCTGCCAATGAAGCAACCTGGAAAACATTCTTCCCAAGCGAGGGTTTTTCCTATCTCAATTGCTAACAAATAAAAATGGAATGGAGTATCTTTCTCTCTGAGAAAAGCAATCAATTATCCATTGCTACTCTTTTTGATTGCCCTCTGTAGATACAGCTGCCTATCATATCTTGAAAACAATTATCTCTGAAATATTTTCCTGCTAAACGCTATCTGAACAAATTTCAGTGTTAATAATTTGACTTTTACAGTATGCCAGAGCACTGTGAATAAGTAATTTTTTTTCCCTATTCAAGAATGAAACCTCTTGAGCTCATCATAGGTAATTTGGGAAGTGTAAAATAAAAAACAATGACAGCGTATTTCTTTATTCTGTCTCATTTTTATCATTTTCTGTGTTCCTTCATAGATTTGGCTGCTAACATATTTCTACTCTTATCAGATTATAAAAAATAGGTTAAAAAAAATAAAAGTTTACGAAGGAAAACTGGTAATTACTAAAGGATGGTTTCAATAACTCAAAAATATTGAGGAATTAGTGACTACCATTACAAATTCATTATAGTCCAATTTCTCTTTAAAAATGGAAACCACTTTTGAAAGAGTCAATTTTATATATAAAGTCTTCTTATTTATGCCTGGTTTACCTGAGTTTTGCATGCAAATTATAAAATGTAGGGTTGCTGACAACTACCTTCTAAAAAAAAAAAAAAATAGCAAAATTACACCCAAATCTTTGTAAGCCATTGAATGTTAATACATTAGATATTTTTGTGTAACAAATGGAACCCCTCCTCATTGTAAAGCAAAACATATTTATGTTAACATAAAATTTTATGGTAGACAGAATATCTGTTGCAATGTGTCAAAAATATGATGGAAAGAATGTGCTTGTAATGCTCAAGTTGGGGACCAATGACTAAAGAGGAGGAAACTAAACTGTGAATAAATTCTAAAAATGTAACTGTAGCTGCCCAGAATGGTAAGGCCAGATGAGATAATGTCTTTAGCTGGAAAAATGTCTTTAAACAGCTTAGAATTCAACTAAAATCCTGGACAAAGACTATGGAGCAACTCGTTCTCTCGATGGCCAAGAGGATTAGAGAGAAGGTCCCAGCTTACACGGGGAGTAAACCCTAGCTAGACCTAAAATGAGAAAATGAGTTACTTCACATGGTAACAATAGGCAGGCAGGGGTCCAAAATGCCTTGGGTTTGGTGGACTAGACATAGCTGCATGACCCCCGCAGCAGTTTGCCAGCCTAGCCTGTTTCTGTATGTGCTGAGCTTATAGAAGAGGGTTCCGAACTGCCTCAGAGGTAAAGAGCAGGAAAGTAGTTTTAGTGCAACTAAAACTTTTATTTTTTTTAACCTATTTTTTATAAGACCTTGACTCCAGGGTATATAATTTGCTTCTTTGTTCCAATGTGTTAATTCTGAGGTCAACCTTGAATACCACAGTCAGTCAGTCAGCAGTATTCACTAAGTATCCACAATGCCTTAAGGCCATGGGTATGGGGAACTAGAACATCAAAATAAAACATTAAATGAAGTGGTCAGGAATTGACTTAGAAGAAACTTTCAAAGTATGTGTACATTCCGCCACCCTCTCCCCAAATTAAAACAATGTAAAGTATTCATATATTTTTTAGGGATTCGGTGAAGTAAATCACGCCCTGACTGTTCACATATTTCAAGACAGCACTGGCTTTGTAACATATATCGATCCATCACTTAGCATATAAATTTTCATAGTCAAAAATATAATTAATTTTGCACAAATATCCAATATATTATTAAAACTTCTTCAAAAACAAGCTTCCTGTTTTTCCCCCCATGCTTAACCCTCCCTGATTAAGTTTCTCTCCGTGACTGAGAAAGGAGCAATTGGGAGGAGCCCTAGATGGCTATGTAAAACCTTGCCCAGGGATGACAAATGGCTCTGTGGAGCAGCAGCAGCCGTGTTGCAGCAATGAGGAAACAAGCATCAGGTCAAAGCCCACAGCGGGGATGGTGGGACAGAAACTGAAAGAGCCGGGTCCTTGAGGAGGGATGCTGTTGAACTTCTCAAGAGACCAAGAATTGAACTGACCAGCTCCATGCTTCTTTTGAGTAACAATACATTTGTTTTAATCCTCAAAAACAAAGGAATAAAACTGCCTAGGTGTCTATGTGCCCTGCGAAGGAGGTGCTCCATCATGATGGCCTGTGTATGGGAGGTTAGTACATGAAGGGGTTGTCCATTTGTACACGTTCTAAATCTCTTTAGCTGGCAGCTACTGTATTTGGCTTCCTTGAAATTGTTCCTCTATCACTGTGTCACTAAGTTGATGTGCCTAGTGATCATAAACTGGTATGTGTGATTTTCCTGTATAAATTTTAAACATTGATGGTGTACTCTTTAACCTTATTTTGCATTGCATTTAAGACACTTCAGATGCCACGTGTGTAAAAACGGCAAAAAACAAACACACACACACACACACACACACAAACATAAAAAAGTTCCCCATATAATATTTAAATCAACATGTCCCCAAAGCCATCCAGCTAGGACGGTCACCTGAAGGATGTTAGAGAAAATGAGGGTTGGGTGGGTGCAGCACAGACCAGGAGCAGGACTCAGCATACGCTTAGTTGCAGCATCCATAATGAAAGGCAAGTCCTCATGCTCCCAGGTTGACACTTAAAACAAGTAAAAACTTAAAGAAGAAGATACCACACATTTTATGTCCTTCCTCTTCCCACGTACCAAATCTCTGAAAAGAACTATAAAGAAATAAAACCATTATTTAATTTTCAAGCTCCTTTTGCTACAGAATCTAGGAAGCATAAATGTCTACACTCTAGTGAGCTCAAAATTACCTGAGCAAAATGAGTATTATTTCTGGGACTTGGGGAGCAATAAACCATTAAAAGGAGATAAGTCAGGATACTCCTACAGAGCATTAGGCTTGAAAACCTCACAATGACAAGGCACAAATACCTTCTCTAAACGTGTGAAAGAACACATGGAACACTGGCTCTATGTGGCTTCCAATTCAGAGAAACAGTCAAGCAAGGTCTGCTATGAAAGTACATCTACCCTCTCTCACCACACCTCACCCCCTTCAAACACACACCTACATGCAAATTTGAAAAACAGAGCTGTTCTCCCCTCAAAATCAAAACAGAATTCAATAAAAGAGCAAGACTTGGTAAAATACCACTAATTACTCTCCCCCCTCCACCTCCCAGGAACATACAATGTGCAGTGGAAAGAATCTGGGAAATTACTGTGAAGAAAACAGGAAAAATAGTTAAATTAAATTCAGGAAATAGAGAAAAATTTATCCATCATACTTCCCTTCATCCATTCTTCTTTCTGATTTCTGACTTCATATTAAAAATCCAGAATACAGTTTATGCCTAATCATAGCAAATATTTTCATAAATGATTACTAGTATATAGGTGAAAGCATTAAGTTTAGTAGTGAAAGACTTAAAAGGTATACTTATTTTGTATATTGGAAAAAAGTAGTTACTGTTCCAGGCACTTAATTAATTTGGCTGATAAGCTTAAGTCACATGCAAACAGCTCTACAACAAAAGCCAAGATTTATATACTCAAGCACTTTATTTACCTTCTACAACCTTCTAAGATAGGTACTATTATTATCCTTATTTTAAAGATGGAGAAATGAAGGAATAAAAATTAAGTAAAATGCACAATTAAAGAGCTAAGATTAGCAGTATAGCTAGAAATCATATCCAATTCCAAACTTTTAACCCCAGCGTTAACTTGCTTTGCTAAGAGTTCCCAGAAATTGGTTTTGCACATCATGTGTGCTAATACCCCCACTTGAGCATTTACATGTTACATTACACTCCAAATAACCCTGAAAGGTGAGCATTGTTAAGGTTTTGACAGAAAATTAAAGCCACAGGAGGTCTAGTGTTTTAATCAAATTCCATGGCTTTAGACAATAATCCCTTTAAAAAAAAAATCAAATTACAGTTTTCCTTTACTTAACTACATAAAAAATGCTGTTCTTTTCTAGCATGTTGAAGGGTAAAGGAACTTCTGACTACAGGAAACAGTCATGGATTAAAAATTGTTGGGTAATTTCTACGATTCTCTCTGCAGCTAAGGTATATGTTTAGTTAATATGCACCATTGCCTGGAGTGACTCCATGTGACTGCACATGTGTCTTTTGCTCAAATGCTATTTGCTGCATATAAAACATCTTTAAAGCCTTCTCTGAACAGGACAGTATAAACCCAATCAATCTCTATAGATGACAATATCTTCTATAGGTATTAATTTTATTATATAACTAGAGGCCTGGTGCACAAAAATTCGTGCACTCAGCCCAGCCTGAACCCTCTTGCAATCCAGGACCCATC